TTTTCTACTGAGTTGAAGTTAGAAAATGGGACACTATAATTTGAAAAAAATCTGTTTTAAGATATATTAAAGCCAAATTTAATAAACCAATAAATCTTTTCAAATTACATATGCAAGTGCTGTGGTCAAGATGTAATAAGGTCATGGATTTCTCTCGGCATGGTCACTTAATAACTGATGTTGAAAAGTCACTTATCCTCCTTTGAAGTTCAAATTCTTAGTCTATAAAATGGGTATAATACTGCCAGTATCTCATGGGGTTGTTGTAAAGTTAAACACATTAATTTGGAGTTATGCTTAGAATAAGGACTGGCATGAATATTAGCTATTATGACTGCTGTTTCTGGGTATGATAAAATATAAATACTTCACCCTATCTCTCCCACTGAATAGACTAATAAAACTTGAAGAGAATGTGTGATATGTTTGAAGACTGTGAAAAGTTAAAAAGTAGCAGGCAGAAAGAATAAAAGTCCAAACTTTGAAATAAAGAACTTACATCCAGACAAGGCACAATCAAATTGCTGAAAATAAAGAAAAAGAAAAACAACTTAAAAGCCTTATACTCTTGGTTAATTGATTTTACATGAAGGTGTCAAGACAATTCAAAGGAAAAGGATAGTCTTTTCATATAAAAGTACTAGGACAATTTTATACATATATATGCATACATGTATAATATATATGTATGTGTATATATATACTCTATACACACATATGTATTACACACATAAATTTTTTTTTAGTTGTTGATAGACCTTTATTTGTTTATACCCTGTGATAAGAATCAAACCCAGTGCCTCACAAATGCCAGGCAAGTACACTACTGCTGAGCCATTGCCTCAGCCCCAACATAATTTTATACACAGAAAAATTATATGTAGAGAGAACTTTATGTAACTCTAACCTACATTATATGCAAAAAATTAATTTAAAATGGTTCATTAGGGCTGGGGTTGTGGCTCAGTGGTAGAGGGCTTCCCTAGCATGTGTGAGGCACTAGGGATTGATCCTCAGTACCACATAAATAAAATAAAGTTATTGTGTCCATCTACAACTAAAAAATTTTTTAAATGGTTCACAGACATAAATGTATGAGTTAAAACTATAATCTTTCAGAACACATGAAAAACATCTGTGTGATACTGGGATAGAAAGAATCTTCATTACAAAACCAAAACAGAAGCCATAAAAAATTAATAAGTTAGGCTACATTCAAATCACAACTTCAGATGCCAGTAAGAGAGATAATATCACTGAAAATAGAGGATGGAATAGGGACCATGACAATTTCCTACAAAAAAGCAATCAGAAAACTGGCAAAACCTGTCAGAACCAACTTTAATAAGAAAAGTGGAAGAGCAGACATCCTTGTCTCATTTCTGCTCTTCAGAGGGGAATTATTTTTCACCTGTATTTATATTAAATATTAACACACAAATATGACCAATTAATTTCTGAAAAAAATGCAAAGATAGGTAAATAGAGAAAGAATACTCTTTTTAACAATTGGTACTCAAACAAATGGACAATGATAGGCAAATAAGTGAATTTTATAAAAACCTCACATCTAAAATATTAAATCAAAATGGACTATACATCTAAATGTAAAATGTAGAACTATAAAAATGTTAGAAGAAAACATAGAAAAAGTTCTGTTTCATAAACAGGTATGAGGCAGAGTTCTTAACATGCACACACATCCGTACCCATCCACCCATACAGCATGATCCATGAAAGAAACTACAAACTAGATTTTATAAGAGTTAAAAAAATTTACTCTGAGGTACAAGACTTATACACTGAAAACTAAAATGTTGCTGAAAGAAATTAGAAGATGCAAATAATAGAAAAACATCTCATGTTAATCTATTGAAGACTTAATACAGTTAAGACGTTTATACTAACCCAAATTATTCACACTTTCATACCTCCTACCAAAATTTCAATGACCCTTTTTTTGTTGCAATAATATAAAATCTACCCTAAAGTTCTTATGGAATCTTATCAAAAAGCCAAAATAATGTTGAAAAAGAAAAAACAAAATTGGCAGTTACATTCTTCCTGATTTCAAAACTTACTACTAAGCAACAGTAATTAAAATAGTGTGGTACTGGCATAACAAAGAAATATATTCCAGTGGAATAGAGATCTCAGATATAAACTCTCATCCATATAGTCAAATGATTTTTGAACAGGGTGTCAAGTTCATTCAGTGTGAAAAGAATAGTCTTTTCAAAAAATGTTACTGTGAAAACAGGATATGGATAAGAAAAAATTAAGTTGGATACTTACATTATACCCAAAGAACAAAAAACCTTGAAATGAATCAAAGACCTAAGTAAAATAGCTAAAAGTGTGGAAGCTCAGAAAATAACACATAGGGAAAGTTTCATGATATTGGATTTGCTAATAATTTCTTATATGTAACACCAAAAGCACAGACAACGAAAGAAAAATAGATGAATTGGACTTCATCAAAATTTAAAACTTTGTGCATCAAGGAATACCATTGACAGAGTAAAAAGGCAACCCAAGAAGCAGGGAAAAATATTTGCAAATCATATATCTGATAAAGAATTAGTAACTAGAATATACATAGAACTCCTATAACTTCATCCACAAATGAAGAAGTAATTCATTTAAAATCAACCAAGAGACTTGAACATACATTTATTCAAAGAAGATACACAGTTGGCTAAAGAGTATATGAAAAGATGCTCAACAGTATGAATCATTAGGAAAGTGAAAACCAAAACCACAATGAGATACCACTTCATGCCCATTAACTATTATCCAAAAAGGAAAACAGAAAATAACAAGTCATATTAGTGACGGTGAAGAGAAATGGAAACCCTTGTGCATTGCTGGTAGTAATGTAAAGTGTCACAATGTCTACTGAAAATGATATGATGCTCCCTCAAAAAATAAATGTAGAATTACCATATAATCCTGTAATTACACTTCTGAGTATATATAAAAAAGAAAGGAAGCCAGTCATGATGGTACATGCCTGTAATCCCAGCAACTTGGGAGGCTGAGGCCAGAGGATCCCAAATTCAGAGTCAGCCTCAGCAATTTGGTGAGGTCCTTGTCAAAATAAAAAAATAAATAAAAAGAGCTGTGGATGTGGCTCATCCCCAGGTACAAAAAAAAAAAGTAAATACTCAAACATGTATAATCATGTTCATAGAAGCATTATTCACAATAGCTAAAACATGGAAGTAACCTAAGTGTCACTCACAATTAAAGAGATTTCTAAAAAGTGGTACATACATACAATGGAATTTTCTTCAGCCTTAAAAAGGAAGGAGATTCTGACACATGCTACAACATAAAAAAAAACAAAAACTTGAAGACTTATTCTAAGTAAAATAACCCAGTCACAAAGGACAAATACTATGTGCTTCTACTTATATGAGGTAGCAAAATTAGTCAAATTCATAGCGACAGAAAGTAGAATAGAGGTTGCCTGAAACTGGGAAGGGGAAAATAAGGAAGGTAGTATTTAATGGGTACAGAGTTAAAAAGTTCTGGAGATAAATGGTAGTGATAGTTACAGAAAAATGGGAATATATTTAATACCACAGAACTATACACTTAAAATGGTTAAAATTGTAAACTTTGTTACATATATTTTTATCACAGTAAGAAAAAAAATTCATTCTATAAAAGACACTGCTAAGAGAATGAAAAAGCAAGCTATAGACTGGGAGAAAATATAAATCACATATCCAATAGAAGATTGCTTAGAATATACAAAGAACGCTCAAAAGTCATGAGGAAGAAAATAAACAACCTAATGACAAAATGGCCAAAGATTCAAACAGATACATTAGCAAATGGGATATAAATATGGCAAATAAGCACATGAAAAGATGTTCAACAACATTAGCCATTAAGAAGATGCAACTTAAAACAACAATGAGGTACCACTTCACACCTCTCAAAACAACTAAAATAAATACTGACAATACCAAGTGCTGACAAAGATGTAGAGCAACCAGAACTCTCATACATTGTTGGTGGGAATGCAAAATGATATAGCCACTCTAGAGAATGGTTTGGCAATTTCATATAAAGTTAAATGTACACTTACCATATGACCCAGTAATCCCACTTCTAGATATTTACCTTAGAGAAATAAAAACTTATGTTCACACAAAAACCTGTACAAAAGTGTTTATATCAGTATTATTCATAACCAGCATACCTGGAAACAACCCAAACTCACTTCAATGGGTGAATGGACAAACAAACTTTGGAATATTCAGACAGTGAAATATGATTCCACAAAATGAATAAACTGTTAATACATACAACAACTTGAATGAGTCTCAAAGATATTATGCTTAGTGAAAGAAGCCAGTCTCACAGTTACACATTACATGATTTCATTTATGTGACACTCTCTAAAAGATACACCTAAAGTGATGGAGAACAGATCAGTGATTGCCAGGAATTATGGGTGGGGGTTGGGAGTGACTAGAAAGAAATAGTATGAGGTAGTTTTTCATTGTGATGGAGCTGTTCTCTCTGCTAACTGTGGTGGTGGTTACATGAATCTACATGATTAACAATTCATAGAACTATACACCAAAAAAGCCCCATGCAATTTTATTGCAAATTCATTTCAAAAACAAAATATTAAATATTATATCATCATCATCATCATCAATATCCATACTTTACTAATTAATAAAATATTCAAAATTATTTGTGAAATGGGATCTAAAAATCAGTAATACGGTCAATTTATGTCTTCTATAATAACTTAAAGGTATAGAGATTAAAACAGCACTACATGTAAAAGTTTTACAACTTCTACTAATTCTTCTCTTTAATATTTCATATAAGGATAATATGTTCTCTCTGGATCATTGTTACATGCTGATCATTGTTATATACTGAATATGGAATTAAATAGGTGTTCAACTTAGAAGTCTGGGACCCTAGGTTACATTCCTAAATCTAACACTATAAGAAAACTCTCGACTTGCCTTTTGTGCCTAATTTTATCTTCCTCTTCATTGAGGTCATGTACTTGTCTGCACTTGGCTTTTTGTGGTATGCTGTGAAGGTTTAAAGCAAGGAGTTTCAAAGATAGAAAACAGAACAGATTCATAAATTCCCCTCCAACCCCCACCCAAATCCAGGTACTACTCTAAGTGATTTACATGTATTACCTCACTTAATCCTAACAACCCTGTAATATAACTACTATTAATATTCTCACTTTACTGATGAAGAAACTGAAGCCTACAGAAGTAACTTGCCTAGCATCTCATAGCTAATAAGTGGGGGAGCCAGGATTTTCCCAGGCAGTTTGCCTCCAGAGCCTATGTTTATAATCATTATGCCATAATCTCTCTCCACAAAAGGCAACTGTTCATTTTTCATTCCTTCCTTCTTCACTGCTCTGCCATGTCTACTGTCTATCTAACATAGCATTTAATCATTCTCATGATTTTAACATGACTGAAGCAGAAACGATTCCCAATTCTACATATCTACTTCTGACCTCTTTCCTGAGTTTTACTGCTTTATTTCTGTCTCCTTGATATCTGCAAGCAATGATCCTGCCATTCTCAAAATTTCAACATGTTTAAGTCAAATTCATCATCTTTCCTCAAAATTTCCCCATAAAAGCATTCTTGGTTTTGCCAATTGTTAAGTCACACAGCCTTGAAACATCTGGGTTATCTTTGACATATTCCCTTCCATTGACCTTCTTCCTTCATCTTCAGACAATAAGGTCTATGAATTCTCCCTTTGTAATGTATCTTATAATTAAATCTACCTGTCTTTCCAATTCCGCTCTCACCAATCTAGTCCAAATCTTCATGTTTCAAAGACTACAATCCCTCCCAACCATTCTCTCTGCTTCTAGTACTTCCTTATCAAGTTCTAATTACTGGATACCACATGGCTTTTAACATTTTACTCCTGACTTGAAAACTTCTAACTATATTCAGATTAGCTAAAAATTAAATCTATATAGCTATAAACTACCAACCAAATAAAGCCCAAAATTATTAATTATATTTCCAATTTTGCCTCTTATAACTCTCCCAGTCAATAGTGCTCACATCAACTCCTGCAAATCAAATGTCATTCCTTCTCCTTTCTAAATAGGTAGTATTAAAAAAATTAAATCTTACCTCCTCTGAAAGGCATTCTTCATTCACAGCAATAAAACTCTGAACTCCCATAGCACTTAGCAACTGTATCTTGCATTTTTACTAAATGGTATACATTTATATTTCCAACCACATTGTACTTGGCACAAGGTCAAGAATTATTTCTTAAGTTTCTCTGCACCTCCCACAGTGCCTAGTAAAATCAATCCATTAAACTAATTCTGATTAATACACACACATATATATGTATAATATTAATTTATATTTCAGCCTAACTACCCTACCTAGCCTTGCCTCACTTTTCTGTGTCATCCCTTGTCATTCCCTGCCACTTCCTGTACCCCTGCCACACTGAACTTTTCATTGTTCCCCAGACATACCAGGTCCCTTCAACAATCCTGTTCCTATTCACTATCTTATAACGCTCTTTCCCCTTTACCTAAAAAATGCCTGTTGATCCATCAAGACAGTACAAGTGCCAACTTCTGACTCCCCCACCTGGACTTAGGTGCTCTATTTTCTATGTTTCCTCAGAATTTGATTCAAGTCTATATAATAATTTCCTAATTTCCATGTTGTCATGCAATTAACTGCAGATATTTGTCTCTTTCATGGGACTATACATTCAAGAGTAGTAATAGCCTGCCTTTCCCCTACTCTCTTCACTAATTCTTTATATCTAATGACTGATGTTAAATCTTTCTGTCAGTGAAAGACTATACATAAGTCAGTGAAGCTCACATACCTTGATAATAAAGAGCCTTAAGAAAGGAGTGACGATCAGCTCCCTGAAATAAAGACTTTTCTATTTCCATTTCTCGTCGGGTCAGCTGTTTGCTCTTTGAAAATCTCTGTGGCAGGCGAAGAATACGCTGACGCTCAGAGATTCTTTCTTCAATATCTTGAAGACGGTTCTGTATTGCTTCAGGAGTTGCCCTCAGCCTTGTCCTCTGAAACCAGGGAAATGAAATGACAAATCATAGAGGACACACCTGAAAGTGATGATCTGGTGCTTCAAGTAAGAAAAAGATGATCAGGTCACATAAATTGAAAGTGTTTATTTAAAGTGTTAGCTAAGAAGTTAAAAAAAAAAAAAAAAGGTCCTCTTTCACCAATGTCCCTATCCTAAAAAACAAAGAAGATTCAGACACAAAGCTCAGTTTTGTGGAACTAAAAATGCAAAACTCCCCAATGCCAAAATGAACTGATCCTGCTTTTTATTCTCCTGAAAAACAATAACCCACTTACCTTTTCACCTGAAACATGGCTCTTCCAGATTAAGATTTCTGTTTCATTGAGTCCTAGTTCCCTGAGAGAAGCAGTTTCTTGGTCCTTTTCATGTAGTGTCTGAAACTGGGACAAAGTCATAGTTCCAGCTGCTTCCTTTCCAAAAGGTTTGTACATAGTACCAGGGGCAAAGCTCTCTTTCTTAGAGACACATCTGCAAAACAAGAAAAAAAGGGAGTGAGATCATCTTCAGGCTACCACAATTCACAGGAATTGTACCATTGTAAGAGGCACAATAAAAGTCATTGGCAATTTCTCACATTCTGTTACTAGCCTGAAGCCCAACTGCAACAAAATGGAACTCCATCAATAGTCCCTTCATCCAGAACTAATCAATGACTAAATTAATGAACATTTACTGAGTCCTTCTATGCATCAGATGTGTGCTGTGTACTGAGGATTTAATAGCGAGAGAGAGAGAGAGAGAGAGAGAGAGAGATATGAAAATAGCTCCTGTTTTGTGAAAGAATACTGATAGGAAAATAAAGAGGCAATGACAGTATCGAGTTATAAATGCTATGGTGGAAGAAATACAGGGTGTAGGAGGGCATAGAAAAGGTACTGGCTCAGACTTGGTGGATATGGAAGCTTCCCTCAGGAAGAAAAAGATTAATTCTGATTAATATATATATATATATATATTAATCAGAATATATAAATATATATATATATATATATATAAACATTTATTGATGCATAGAAGTCTGCTAAAGAAAGTGGGAGAGAGAAAGTGCAGTGTTCCTTTCAGGCTTTAAGAGGGGCCTGTCACTTTGAAGTGAGCATCTAGGATACTCTACCTGTTTGGAAAATCAATACTTACTCTTCAATGGAGACAGAAGTATCAAGTTGATGTTGAAGGAGGCTTTTCAGCTGCCTCTCCCCTTCTGTTTCCAGTTCCTCCAGGACATGCTCATCACTCTTCACACAGCTGTTTACCCTGGAGGAGACATACCAATACATACAGAAAAAAGAAGAGATAGGGAATTGAATATATATTCCATACCTATATTATCTATCATTAATTAGTGACCCCATTTGTTCAGAAACTTCTTTAATCAACCATTGTACTTCATCATTCATTCTACAAACATTTACTAAATACCTACTCACACAGAAGGCATTGTGCTAGGTATTGATGTAACTCAAAGATATTGATAACAGTATCTAGCATCAAGAAGCTTATAATCTAGATAGGAAGAAGAAATATATGTTTGTGTTGTGTGCATGTGCTTGAGGGAACAGAAAAAAAATATGAATTAATAATGATATACAGCACAGTATGTCAAATTGTTAAGAGATCATAGAAGATTAGTTGGAAGCTAGGGTGGTAAGTGAAATCTTCAGAAAGGTATTTTTAAAGTGGCATTTGAAATACTGGTTGTAATGAAAAGGATAACTAGAAAACAAGTGTGAAGAGACAGAAATGCATACTGGAGGATAACTGGAATTTCAATTTCAATTTCAATTTGTACGGTGAATGACCTTACAAAAACCAACTAAATGGCCTGGACATTAATGTGTAGGCATTAAAAAGTAATTTATTAGGCAATTAGGTGACATAGTACAAGCAATGGTTTAGGAATATGAATGTGGTTATAATATGCCATATACATTAGAAGGAAAGAAACCTGAAGAAATAATTAACCATTGAAGTATGAGGTGATGAAGACCCAAAACAAAGTGATAATAGTAGAAATGAAATAGAATGGTTAGATGAGAGAGGCCTTTGAAGCAGGGAAGGGTAAGGATGTCAAAGATAATCCCCAAAATTCAAACCATGTAACAAACACAATGATGGTATCAATGAAGAAAAGAAGGTCCAGATGGAGTCAATGACTTGGGGAAATAAGTATTATTGCAATCATGTTGAGTCAACTATCTATTATAATTCAAACACCAGCATGAAGTATCAGGAATGCTCTGAATACATTGAAGTAGAGGTAACAGCATAAGTGATTGGCTGAAAGAAAAGTTTCATAGAGGAGATTCTAAGGTTGAACATGGAAATCTGGAGTCATCTGTGTGGAGAAGATGAGCTATGAGAGAAGATGTCTAAAGGAGAAAGTTTAAAAAGAAATACAAAGAGGATCATAACATTTTATAGCCTAGGCATCACTATGCAGACATCTAGATAATGACTAACATGAGCTAACTAACCTTAAATATGTGAAAGCTCTTATTAGAATGTAAAAAAAAAATAATAGAACTATTTAAGCATGCAACAATTGATTATAAAAAACTGAACACAGAAAGTGAGTTAACTCCATGAGGAAAATAAATTTTTAAATTTTAAGTGTCTTTCTTATAAAATTGCCCTTTCCTAGTTAAGATATAATAATATCTAGGGGAAAACCCTATAATTATAAGCAAAATCCCTTGCTCAAGAAAGACTTGGCCCTATCTTGGAAAATTCTAAAATATTTTTAGATATAACACTTTTTTAAAAAATCCTTTAAAAATCACATAGAAATAGAAAAAGCAATCATGAAATTCTTCTGGAAAAATAAGAGACCTAGAATAGGTAAAGCAATCCTTAGCAGGAAAAGTGAAGCAAGTGGCATCACTATATCAGACCTTAAACTATACTACAGAGCAACAGTAACAAAAACAGCATGGTATTGGCACCAAAACAGACTGGTAGACCAATGGTTCAAAATAGAGGACCCAGAGACTAACCCACAAAATTACAATTATCTTATATTAGACAAAGGAGCCAAAAACATGCATTGGAGAAAAGAGAGTCTCTTCAACAAATGGTGCTGGGAAAACTGGAAATCTATATGCAACAAAATGAAATTAAACCTCTATCTCTTACCATGCACAAAACTCAACTCAAAGTGGATCAAGGACCTAGGAATAAAACCAGAGACTCTTCATCTAATAGAAGAAAAACTAGGTCCTAATCTTCAACATGTGGGATTAGGCCCCAACTTCCTTAATAAGACTCTTATAGCGCAAGAATTAAAACCAAGAATCAATAAATGGGATGGACTCAAACTAAAAAGTTTCTTCTCAGAAAAAAAAAAAACTGTGAGGTGAATAGAGAGCCTACATCTGGGGAGCAAATTTTTACTCCTCACACATCAGATAGAACACTAATCTTTAGGGTATATAAAGAACTCAAAAAACTAAACACCAAAAAACCAATAACCCAATCACTAAATGGGCCAAGGACCTGAACAGACACTTTTCAGAAGAGGATTTACAATCAATCAACAAATACATGAAAAAAATGCTCATCATCTCTAGTAATTAGAGAAATGCAAATCAAAACTATTCCAAGACTTCATCTCACTCCAGTCAGAACGGCAGCTATTAAGAAGATAAACAACAATAAGTGTTGGCGAGGATGTGGGGGAAAAGGCACACTCATACATTGCTGGTGGGACTGCAAATTGGTGCAGCCAATATGGAGAGAAGTATGCCGATTCCTTGGAAAACTGGGAATGGAATCACCTTTTGACACAGCTATCCCTCTCCTCGGTCTATACCCAAAGGGCTTAAAAACAGCATACTACATTGTCACAGCCACGTCAATGTTTATAGCAGCACAATTCACAGTAGCTAAACTGTGGAACCAACCTAGATGCCCTCCAGTAGATGAATGAATAAAAAAAAAAAGTGGCATATATACACAATGGAATAGTACTCAGCAATAAAAGAGAATAAAATCATGGCATTTGCAGGTAAATGGATGGAGCTGGAGAAGATAATGCTAAATGAAGTTAGCCAATTCCAAAAAAACAAATGCTGAATTTTTCCCTGATATAAGGTGATTGACTCATAGTAGGGGAAGGAGGGGTAGCATTGGAGGAACAGATGAACTCTAGACAGGGCAGAGGGGTGGGAGGGGAAGAGAGGGGACAGGGGGTTAGCAATGATGGTGGAATGTGATGGACATCATTATCCAAAGTACATGTATGAAGACATGAATTTGTGTGAACATCCTTTATATACAGAGATAAGAAATATTTTGCTCTATATGTGTAATAATAATTGTAATGCATTCCACTGTTTTGTATTTAAAAAATAAAATCAATTTAAAAATCACAATTTTTGTTGATTATTTAGAATTCCCAAAGTTCTTGCTAAGTTTAAAGGTCTTTTTTTCAAATGAATAAATCATAGCTAAATACATCAACACACATGAATCTCAAAAAGAAATGTTGAGTTAAAATAAACAAGTCACAGAAAAATTAATACAATATGTCTCCATTTGTATAAAGTTGAAAATGGGTAAAAACTATGAAAATTGCAGTTGTGCTTCAGGCTAGTAACAAAATGTGAGAAATTGCCAATGACTTTTATTGTGCCTCTTATAATGGTACAATTCCTGTGAATTGTGGTAGCCTGAAGATGATCTTACTCCCTTTTTTTCTTGTTTTGAAGATGTGTCTCTAAGAAAGAGAGCTTTGCCCCTGGTACTATGTACAAACTGTTTAGGGCTAAATTCATATGTGAAAAATCTTTAAAAAAACAACAAGGGAATAAATTAATATAACATTCTGGATATCAGTCATCTCATGGGAGACGAAAGAATGAGGGCAGAAAAAATCAGGAAGGGGACACAAAGGTACTAACAATATCCTATTTCTTAGACTGATAGTTGATACAAGCCTTTATGGTTATTCTTTAAATAAATAAACATTATTTTGCACGTATGAGATATATCATTGAATAATTTAAAAGACAGGGAAAATGAGAACCAGTTTCTTCAAAGATGCAAGGAAATTCCAGCTATTTGGGGAGGCTGAGGCAGAATGATTCCAAGTTCCAGTCCAGCCTCAGCAATTTAGCCAGACCATGTCTGGGAATAAAATTAGAAGGGCTGGGGATGTAGCTCAGTGACAGAGTGCTTGCCTAGCATGCTCAAGGCCCTAGCTTCAAACCCCAGTAAAACACACACACACACACACACACACACACACACAATAATAATAATAATAATAAAATAAATATTTTTAAAAAAGAAAAAGAAACCGAGGGTGCAGAAGAACTGTTCCTGCATGATCACTCTTGCAGTCAATATCAAAGTAATTTAATAAGGATCCTTTTTAAAGTCTTTGTTCTGTCAAAATAATGAGGCACAGGTTCTCAACAATGACCACCAAGGTTCATTTACTGAAGAACCAGTAGGGGGAACTGAGAGGAGCAATGACTTTCTTATCCTGTAACATATCCAGCCCATTTGGCTTTCCTTTCAAATTTGGAGAAAGAAAGTATCAATCTCTTAATGTAACCTTTGAAAATGCTACATGGTTTCGTGGTTCCAGCAAGTATCCTTCAACACCCAGACAGTGCAAATAAATGCATCCACCCTGAGCACCCCTGGGCTCATGAGGTGGAGGTATGGCGGGCCAGGAAGGAGCCGCCTTGGGTATCCCTGGCGCTGAGAATTGTCAGCCAGCACCCTTTTGCCTGGGTGGGTCTGTCTGAAACAGAAAGTCTCCGCAGCACCCAGCCAGCTCCTGGGGCCTAAGCCGGGAAGGCATTCCTACCGAAACCGCCGTGGTCGCGGACCTTCCCGAACTTCGCACAGCTGACCCAACCAGCCCTTCTTCCTTCCTCCCTTCACCTTTGTCTTCCCGTTCACAAGAAACCGCTTCCCAAAATTGTGACACAAAGTAACAAAAGCCATTTTCAAAGCAAATGTTAAAAAAAAAAAAAAGAAAGAAAGAAAAGAGCTCCGCTTGTCTCTGGCAACTCCGACAAGCCCTTACCTCTTCATGTTTCCACAGGCCTTTATTACTAACTTGGGCAAATAGGTCAGGGACCTCATGTCCCAGAACTCTGCGCGGCAGACTCGAAGGGGATTGTGGTGGAGCGTGGGCCTCTGGGAGTTGTAGTAGCACAGAGCCTTATAGAAATGGAGACAGAAAGTAGGTTTCCAGTGACCGGTCTATTTTAAGTTAAAGATAACACCCCAAATATACATCTCATAAACGTGGGAGTCAGCTAGGATTTCTTGACTCTTTCATCCAGTGGTACTGATACTGTAACCCCTATCAACATTACTTTTTTTTTTTTTTTTTTGTACAGGGGATTGAACCCAGGGGTGTTTAACCACTGAGCCACATCCCCAGCCCTTTTGTTTTGAGACAGGGTCTCTCTAAATTGATTAGGGCCTCGCAAAATTGCTGACGCTGGCTTTGAATTTGTCATCCTCCTGCCTCAACCTCTCAAGCCACTGGGTTCATAGGCTTCCACCACCATGGCTGGCAACATGCTTCCCTTTCAAGGTTTTATATGGCCTACCTCTGTTTCCAACAAACCCTCTAGTCAATCCTCTGTATTGTAACCATGAAGGTAAAGTATGAAAAAATTGCTTGCATTAATTGTCCTCTTGTATTTGTAAGAGGGAATTCTAAGTTCTCTCAATTTGAAGTCAGAAATTGTGTATTCAAGCTCTTGAATGTTTTATTGGTAATTATGATGAATCAAGAAAGAGGTATAATATGGTGGTTAAAAGCATGGACTCTTAGTCCCCCACAAGGAAATGTACATCCTTAAGTATGTGAAAAGCAAGGATTGGGGAACGTGATGGTCATCATTATACAAAATATATGTATGAAGATTTGAATTTGGTGTCAACATACCTTATATACAAAGAGATATGAAAAATTGTGGTATATATGTGTATTAAGAATTGCAATGCAAAAAAAGAATACATATATAATGGCATAATTTTGGCGTAAACATACTTTATATACAGAGTTACGAAAAATTGTGCTGTAAATGGGTAATAACGAGTGTAAGGCATTCCATTATTATCATGTACGTAAAAAAAAAAGATATTTACTTACAAGTGAGATGGAAATTTCAAACTATACTACTAGTAATCCCCAAACCATCAAGGTCATCATCAAAAACAAGGAAAGTCTGAGTCTGTCACAGCCACGAGAAACCCAGGGAGACATGATTAACTAAATGTAATGTGGTGTCCTGGATAAGATCCTGGAACAAAGAAATAATACTAGAGGGCTGGGGTTGTGGCTTAGCGGTAGAGTGCTCGCCTAGTACGTGCGAGGCCCTGGGTTCGATCCTCAGCATCACATAAAAGTAAATAAACAAAATAAAGGTATTGTGTACAACTAAAAAGTAAATATTAAAAAAGAGAACACTAGATAAAAACTAAGTTGATGTAAATAAACTATGCACTCTATTAACAATAAGTTTCTGTAGTAGTGACAAATGTACCAAAGTTATGTAAGATGTTAACATTAAGGGCAACTGAGTGGAGGCATATGGAACACTGTAATATGTGTCTTTTATGCAAATTTAAAACTGTCCTAAAAACTTAAAGTTTATGTTTTGAAAGTAAATTAAAAATAATGTATTGCACATACCAGATTGGGAAGGATACAAAACTTTGACAACATATTCGTTTTGTTGAGACTGATGGGAAATAGATACTCTAATACATTGCTGGTAGGTAAAAACCTCTTTGAATAATACTAGTGAAATTCAACTGCACATTCCCTTTATGTTTTAAAGATATATTCCACGTTTGCACATTTCCTTTAAAGCAGTAATTCAGTACTTATAATATCAACATATTATGTCTTCAAACATATGCATTATTTTTCTGACAGTTTATAGCAAAATACTGGAAACAGATATCCATGAAATGATATTTATTCAACATCAAACTATGCAAAAAATAAAAGGAAGCAAGGTCCTTAATGGACTACTAAACAATCTCCAAATATATTTAGTGCAATAGCAAGGTTAAGCATAATACATAGTGTGTTTCTATTTGCTTAAAAAGGGTGGATGTGTTTGCTTTCATATGCACAAAGCATCTCTGGAAGAACACATAGTAGTAGTGAATGCCCACAGGTATAGGAACTAGATGTCTGAAGGACAAGGGCAGGAAAAACTCTTCATTGTCTGGATTTTCATGTCCTTTGAATTTTGAACCGCATGACTATAGGGTCTTGATTTAACATCTGAGCAGCCACCTTAAATGTCAACTGCCATCTTATAAGTTTCTCTTTCCTGTACTTCCTCTTACTGGAACTCCCCCCACCCTGATTAGTGACCTATTCCATGGTACCATAACCCTAAGCAAATTCTATGCTATTTCATGCCACCTAGCTCTGACACAACCCCCCCACACACACACACACAGCCTATCCCATAGCGCCACAACTACAACTCTAGAACCTACCCCACAAAAGCTGAACACCCGAACATCTTGGGGCCTCTCTCTTTATTGTGAGATGGCCTTTGTCAGCTTTGACAAACTTTCATGTGGATCTCTGCCTGGTCTCCATCCTTCATTTCTCGCTTGCCTGTCTCTGGTTTTCTCACTTTCCTTTCAATGACTATATTACCTAGTCAATATTTTTCAATTAAAGAGCAGCTTCCTTATTTTATAAGGAATCAAAGAAGAAAAAACATTGTGTACTTGGGGGATTGCACTTCCTGGGCTTTAATCTCAGTTCTCAGTTTTTGACAAAATAGTACAGCAGGGTTTTGGAAGCAATCTGGACTTAAAATTTTGCTTTGTTAAGTATGTGAATTTCACTAAGTTTCTTCAACAGATCAATGACAGCTTCCTTAGTAAAACAGGGATAATACCTCAGAAGAATAGGGCAACTGTGAAGCATTACACAAAGTATGCTTTTAAAGTCATGCCATGATGGGGTGGTTATTTATGAGTAAATATTCCAAGTTTATCCAGTAGGTTCATACTTATTCAAACTCCTTTGCATTGCCACACTCAAGAGAAAAACCAAAGAGAAGCTACAAAACGAAACAACTCCCCATCCCATTATATTTGCTATCCAGATAACTTCCAGCAGACTGAAAGTATGGTGCCTTTTATCCAACCTCTATTATATGCAAATGACTGTGCTCTTGGAGTACACAAGTATACATACCATGCACCACTTTGCAGCTTAGAGACAGATCAGAGGCTGATTGTAAGCATAAAAAATGTGGGTAGCAGCATAAGCCTGCATCAGGTAAATCCTGTCAGGTGGTAGAATTGAATTCTGCTGCTCAACCAAACTGTTCAATTGGCAACTTTTTCCATGAGGAAATGGGAAAATGTGCCAAGCTTGCTACTGTGTTGGCCTTCTGGGAAGATGACAAAAAGTAGAACAAACATCACATCAAACTTGTATACTTCTGATAAAAATATACAGTCTAGAGGCTGAGGCTGTGGCTCCGCAGTAGCGCACTTGCCTGGCCATGTAAAAGGTAGTGGGTTCAATTCTCAGCCCTGTGTATAAAAAAAATAAATGTCTATCAACAACTAAAAAAAAATTAAAAATACAGTCCATTGGTACGAAAGTGATATACAATACACTGCAAATCCACTAGGTGGGATGAGTGGAGAATGAATGGCTAAAAGACATACTTACAGAGCTGTGGAATTGCAACTAGAAAGCATGGTCATGAGAAATACTTTATGTACCTGTATATAACTGTAGCCAGTACCAAGTGTAGGTACCAAGGGACATTCAGAAAATTGCACTAGAAGGAAAATCAGGCCATTTCTACCTCTACCAAACTTAACTATGTAATAATAGCTACTCTGTTTCTCACAGCATCTGTCTCCCCACCTTAAAAGGATAGTAGATAAAGTATAAAAAGCTTTGAAATCTCCAGATGTTATATGTGGTCAGGGAGCTTACCATGAAGCATTTTCACAAATTCCCTCCCAGAACAATTTATGACAAACTGAAAAATATGCCTCATTTGTCTTTCTGACAATTTAACAAGGTTAGTTTAATTAAGCTCCTCCTTAATGTAGACATGTTTTCAGGGTTTTTAAGGGCTTTGTTTCCAGCACACCTCTGATGAATACATTGGGAAACATAAATTATAACTCCAAAATATGAAAGATGTTAAAACTAAAAAATCTTCTCTTGAATCTACTTATCATCTAATATAAGGAGCCAACAACTGAGCATGTCTTTCAACTTTCCTAAATGAGATAGCATAAATGCTGTTAGGAAGAATAAACATAGAATCTTTTTAAAGGACAAAAATGTATGTCGACTGAGAATGTGTCAACATAACAAATTTTAAAATTCTTGTTTAGCTAATCTCTTAGCTGGTTAACAATGGCTAGCAGGGGCTCACAATTTCTGTGCCTAACAAAAATGTTGCTTTAACATTACTGTGAAAATGAGTTATTGCTTATCTTTTAAATTAATATTTATTCAACAATGACATGTTAGAACCAGAATCAGAAGGAACCTTAGAAATGATTTAGTCCAAGGAACTAGATTTCAGACAGTACATTGAGATTCCCCAGCAAGTCTTAACAGCATTATTGGATTGTTCTGGAAGCCACTTGCCATTCTCCAGCATATTCCATGTACTAGAAAAAAATATTAGACTTCCCCAAGAAAATAGAGTAACAAGATAGTGAAAGCAGTACTTTAGCCTCCATTTTATCTTACTTAAATTTACAGTAAGTACTCTGCTAGCAGAGAAAAAACATAAAAGAATGTTGAGACATTGGAGAATTGAAAACTATTTTATTTTCAAAAAACAGTTGGAAAAATTACAATATGAGACAATGCATTTTTAGACAAAATATAATGCCCACAAAAAATTATTTGTCCAGTTAATAGGGTAAAGAGAAGACTAAAACCATTTTTCTTCTCAAAACATTATCTTTTCTTTACTGATAGAACTTATATTGTGGTTACTGTATAAGAATTGAATCTCCATAAACAATGTGGTAAATGTCTTTTATGTAGGAGATAATAGTAGTAATAATATGAACTCAAAAATTAGATATTATTCAAGATTCTACTCAAAAGTTATATTTACCTACATAAATCATTCACAAAATAAACAGTTTCTGGATTACTTTTACACTTATAATTCTGAGTGGTACAAAAACTTACCTGGGTAAGAAGTGGCTTCTTGGAAAAGTTTGGATAAGAAAGAGACACCATGCAAGTTCTAGCATTTAGCATATCCATAAGACTAATCACTAATAATCACTATCACTAACATTCACTTCAAAATATTTTTCTTCCTGTAATATATACCCGTCAGGATGGTCATGTGAAGACAGGACAACAGAAATTTAGCTCAGTAATTATAGGCAGCTGAGCTCCAGTAACTTAAAAACTTTTAAGTGGTTAATTTTATTTTAGTGTTATGTTTTCATTTAGTAGAGCATCACATTTATTTATGATTTAAGTGAAATACAAGAGATAGAATGTTCCAAAGCTAAGAACATGGCATTTTCTTGAAAAGCAAATAAAGAAATACACAAAAACCAATAACTATAAATCATATGCTAAAATCAAATAAAACACCAGGACATGTGTATAATAAAACAATAATTAAATTGCCTGAACCTTGCTCTTTTAAAAATAATCTATTTCAAATTTGCGGTATAGTTCATTGGTAAAGCACTTGCCCAGCATTTATGAGACCCTGGGTAGGATTCCCAGTACCACACCACACACACACACACACACACACACACACACACACACACACACAAAACCAACAAAACATAAAATCCAACTGAAACCACAAATTCATCCTAACTATTCCTTCCTTCTCTGAATTTTTCTTTTTATTATTATCATTGGTGGTGGTGGTACTGGGGTTTTATTTTAACCCAGGGACACTCTACTACTGAGCTATACTCTAAGCCCTTGTTATTTTTATTTTGAGTCAGGGTCTTGCTAAATTGCCAAGGCAACTTAGGAGCCTCTTGCCTCAGCCTCCTGAGTCACTGGGATTATAGGCATAAGCCACCATACACCTGGCCCTTCTATGAATTTCAATAACATACATTTATAATGCATAACATACTTCCTTGTATTGTCTACATTCATTTTACACAGAAACTAATCTTATCTCAAACTACACATTAAGTTCCATTGAACAGAAAGACTTTACAGTATATCACACTTTATGCTGAATCTAACAAGATTGGTTGGCATGTACTTTTGGGTAGACATCTCTCCACATTTTAGTTGGAGAGAGAAGGAAGATGTGCATTGGCGGAAGTATGTGAATTCTAGGAGAATAAGGTATGTATTACACATACAGAATCAATATCTAACAGGTTGCTGCCTGTATAAGGGGGATAATATAAGTTTTATTTAATTCTGAGAATACTATAGTATAATTCTTCATATCAGAGTATTCAGATAAAGAGCATGCACATTTTATTGCAATGAAAGATTAAGTAGTAACTGTAAACACGTCAACATCATCAAAATTTATAGGAAACAATCCAAAATCAGTATGCTAACAATATGGCCTTTAGTCAAAGGTAATCTTCACATTGCGTTCCTGCTCCTTGCTTTGAAAATCCTCAAAAATCTTTGTTATCTCTTCCACCTTCTTTTGCATCATTCCTATAAGGAAGGAAGTCACACAATCATTAATCCAAGCTCAAAATATTACAGAAACATTATAACACATTCTCCCCTAAACTATTATTTATAAAACTTTACATATCAATTTAAATAGTTTTAGAAAATACAGAAGAAAAAACACATTCATCTACTTTTTTAAAAACTATGAAAACAGTGGACAACACTGTTCTTTATCTGTTCTCCTAGTTTTCAAGGCAAATAACAGTCTACTTGACATTTGTATTTTGTTCCAGTTACCAATTACAGCCTAAAAGTGTAATTTTCTGCCAGTAAAAATAAGCTGTTGAAATAAGCATGATGAGCTGAGTTTTTGTACTACCATCAACCAATTTGGTCATTTGTTTCAGTGTTCATTAATGCTTACTAGAGGATAAGCAATAACTAGTGCCCAAAAGAAAGAAAAATTTTATGAAATGAAAACTTATATATACTTTCTTAAAAAAATTCCAGTCAACTAGAATGGCCCTAATGTTTATTCAGTATTTAAAGTATAATATCATATCCTATCTTATAACATAAACATTCTGCAAGATCACACTTCAACAAATGACTGAAATGATGGCTCTCTACTAAAAGCCTAGAAAACTACAGTGTTATGTTGAGGCTAGCAAAATAACCCCCCCACACCTTTTTTTGGTAATAACTAATTGCATGGTGCAATTTTTTTCTCTTATTAAGCTTTTTTTAATGTGACAGAAACACAAATGAGCACTACAACAAACTATTAACCCAAGAACATAAGTGTCAACATAAGCACATTTTACTAATTTGCTGAGTGACTGATAAAATTTAAGTGTAAAAGAGTACATTTATGACAATTTTGAAAATCAATAAAATGTCAAGAATCACAAGTCAGTGTTACTATGAGAACTTTACTGTAAATATTTTGTCATGTTTTCTAATTGAATTCCCAGGACTATTTATATATTAACATACTTAAAGATTTTTAAAGACTTTCATTCCTTATGTGAAAAAAATGCATTAAGGTAATTAGTTCTAGTCAAATGATAAGCATCAGTGATTCTTTTTTCCCAGTATATTAAATTATATATCACATTAGAAGTAAAATGCTAGCAGTAGCCAAAATTTGTGTGTGTGGCAGGAGGGAATGTGTCATACACATTTTGATATTATTATTATTTTTTTACTTTAAAAAATATTGTTGTTATAGATAGACACAATACCTTTATTTTGTTTAGTTTTTTTTTTAATGTAGTGCTGGGGATTGAACCCAGTGTCTCACACATGCTAGGCAAGCACTCTATCACTGAGCCACAACCCCAGCCCTTGATATTATTTTTTAAAATTATATTGATAAATATGAAAACAAGAAAACAATTCCATTCACAATAAACAAGATGTGGTATGTAAATAAAATACAATGCTATACTGCAATACAAAGAAATTAAGTACTAATAAGTGATAACATGCATGAACCTTGTAAAAAACATCGCAAGCAAGAAGTATGATACAAAGGGCAATATATTATTATCCTATTTCCATAAACTCTCCATCAAAAGCAAATCTATAAAGACAGAAAGTAGATTAGGATTGCCCAGGATTTGGGATAGGAATGGAGAATAACTACAAGTGGACAAAAGAAAATTTGGGGGATAATGGAAACATTCTAAAATTGGATTGTGTGGTGTTTATACACTAAAGACTTAATTTAGTGGTTAATGGTTAAAATAATATATTTGTGTGCTTAAAAATATTTTCTAAAAGTGATTTGTTCTCCATAAAAGATACTGGTGAAATTGTTGCAGCCAGTCTCATTCTGATTTGGGGACAGATGTTTTCTTCAACTTAGCCTACTTGCAAATATTTTTGGTAACAATTCAAATATTTGTATAGAAGATTACAAAAATAGAGATTTCATCACTAAAACCAAACACAGCTTTCTAATGTAATTACTACTTTTAAGTTATACATATAAATATTACCATATAACATTAAATTCACTGTCAAAGTAAACACTGCACTCTTATAAATATTGTTATAGTATATCTCCTTCTCTTAGAAAAATTATTGGGGCAGTAGGAGAAAAAAACAGATTAACAGAAAAATGGTCTTAAGATACAAGTGATGAACCTACAAGATGATACACAATATGTTTATAAACATTTTAAGCATTAAAAATATTAGTAACCAGAATGATGCAAATTAAACCAGAGAAATATTATTTTCACTATAAATTTTGGCAAGGAATGATGATGATTTCTGGTGATGGTAGTGATTACAGAAGTACTGGAAGGAGTGAGTACACTAATAATGAATTGCTGTTTAAAATATAAATCAGTGCAACTGACCTGAAAGAAAATATAAATCAAAAGTTTTTAAAGCAGACATTACTCCTGACTTAGTTTTTTAACTTCTAAGTATTATATTTATGTCTAGTAATCACTGATGTGCCTTAAACCTTACCTACATCTAGGTTTACTGTAGCACAATTTGAAAAAAGAAAACATTTGGAAACATCAATAGGCTAGCATATATGTAAAATGAAATATTTACCAGCCATTAAAATGTAGAATATTTAATAACACTGAAAGATATTCATGGACACATCTCTCAACTTTGTATCTCTCCATCAAAAGCTGAATATAGTGTACTGAGTACAAATCACAACACAAATGAATAGAAAAATGTATATTGAACACCAAGCCAATGCAAAGCATAGCTAAATCCTGAAAACACAGAAATCATTAGGGCATAATCTCTATGTAGAAACTCAAATTCCAGGAAACAGACATATAAATAAGTAACTGCAATACTGTATGATAAATGCTGGTAATATAATAAGTAGTATGGATACAAAGAAGATAATAAACAACTACTAGAATGATGAGTTAAGGAAGGTTTAAAAGAAGAGATAGATGTTAAATTACATCTTAATACAGGAACCACTGCAAGGCAGATAATGAAGAGCTAGGGTACTCCAGGAGAAGAAACTGTTCATCCAAAAATATGGAAGAGGAAAGAATATTGGGTTTTTGAACAACCATAAATACTTCTCTAAAAGAAATGCTGCAAACAAAAGGTAAGGTTGAAAAAAAGCAGGGGTTAGATTATACATGATAATCTAATTAAAACACAAAAATTTACATTGGCCAATCAGAATGAGCAGATGAGAACAATTATCATTTCTTAGACTACTCTGAGAGTAAATATGTGAAAGTAAATTTGAGTGGAATAAGACTGGGGAAGGAAATCATCGTTAAGGTCTCTAAAGAATGCATGTATTCACCACTGTTCCATTCTAAAACATCTGTAAAACAGTTAAAGAATTTACAAAAATAAAAAGAGGAAAATGATAAAAACACAAAACCAATAAGAAGAAATGACATGAAACTTTGAACATTGCAACTGGATTTGTACTACAGAAACCCTAGAACTCCAGAAAGGCTATGGAATTAGTAGAACTAGGTAATTCAAAATGTCATTGAAATTGGAGCTAAAAACAGAATTATGAATGATTAAGAAGCAGTCCCTTCCTCTCCTCCACATCTTACCTCTAAACAATTCTTCCTATCCAACTTCTGCAGATGATTTTTTGGCAAACATGACAGAAATATGACAACGAGCTCTTGCAAAATAAAAATCAAGACCAAAAGCAAAGATCAATAAAAAACTTGAATGAAAAGATGAGTATATACCCCAGAAAAACTTAACAAAATACAAAGAGAAAAACAGGAGAAAAGAAATGCAGTTTAGTTGAGGATTCAAACTTCAGAATAAGTGTATTGCCAGGAAGAACAAAAATATCATAGAAAAGGAAATTAACAGAAACCTAATTCAAGAAAATAGCTGCAACTGACAAAAACAAAATGGGTTTCTTGACTCACCAATAGCAGGCTCAGTGGTGAGAGATCCACATCAAAGCTCATCATGTGATGATGAAAAAAATCAGATGAAATTTGCATATTCTGAGAAAGATCTCAAAATTGTTCACGGGAAAAATATAAAACACACAAATGAAGAGGTATGAAGGTTCAGATTCAGAACAGTCTTCAAAGTTACATGATAATGTAACTGCATCTTCAAAAGTTCAAGGAGAAGGAAGTAAGGGTCTCAGATGATGGGGGATTAGAGGAAGAGTACACTTCCCAGCAGTTCCATAGCACCAGACTTCAAAAGCAGTAAGACTGCTTCTCAGTGAGGGGAGTAACTAAGGTAACTCACTGAAATTCAACACTGGAGAGTAAAAGAAACCATAGAGATGCAGAAAATTGAAAAGTGTGAACATAAGAAAAAAATACATCAGAGATGTGCCAGCTTGGCAGGCCTTAGCATGGCAGGGGAGGTAGAACACAGGTAGAGAGGAATGTGTAGCAGAACAACAACAAAAATGGATTGGGTAATCTGTAGAATCAGAAGCAGGTTGATCTTAATGAACCCAGAGTCAGTGGGGAAAGATGTTAAGTGAAAAACAACCAAAATTTCTTGGCCACATTTCAGAAGGAAATGGGTTCATCAGCATGGAAACCATCTATAAGTGATACACAGCCACAAGCAGAGGCAAGAGGCTGGGAACTCATGAAGGAAGTTGCCAGCTGCCCACCTATTATGAACTCCAGAGTCTTCCTGGACCAGTGTGACAGAAATAGGCACAAAGAAAATTTGGCCTAGTACATGCAGACTCCAGACACAAGAGAAAGAGCTCCTTTTGTGCTGGTGCCCTAAATGTCCAGCAGAAATTGGCATCTTTCCATCAATAGGGTGTGTGAACTAATTTCAAACACCCACTAACAGAGTTCTCAAGGGTAAGTTACCCAAGAGCAAACCTCAGCTATTTAGAACTCTGCACCAGCCCCACTATAAGGGGCTGTCAGCATTGATCAGTCTATCCCACCCTGTACTGGGAGACATGAAGATGAAAGCTACTACAAGCAGCTTCGGCTCTTAACCACAACAGGTGGCAGCTAGGTGAGGAAAACAAAGATGTTGGGCTTAACAACCGGCAGCCTTTGACTCAAGGA